CAAAACTGGAGGAGGGAAGGAAAATGAACCTTTAATAACTGCCCAGCTCTAAAATCAATTTCAGTGCTCAAGACAGCTTGTAAACACACAATATGCTTTAAAAGGGATTGATGCTGAGCAAAGTGAGGTGCACATTTTCCTGCTGTTGAAGTCAAACAAAGCCCTTAAACAGCTTCCATTTTCAAGGGTGAGTAAATGGCTACAGTATTAAGAGCCTTCCACTATCTGAAGATGAGAGATTTGATTCTCAACTCTCTCACACACATTTAAATCAGGAGTAACACACTGAGAATTGACCTAGTCTGCATTTGTTATGAGAAAAGAATAGAAAAACAGTCTTGTATAAAAAAAAATTCAAACAAGAGTATAAATTATGATGATTTACACTTTTGGGCCAGGAGTTGAGATTCCTTTTAAAACCACAATTGATTGATGAAGGCTCACAACATGCCTGTGACTCAGTAAGTACTGCACTCAGTTTGCAGATGGTTGCTCTGAAGCACAGCATTTTTATATGGTTACAAGCCCAACAAATTAATTAGTGGCAGAGCATGAACCAAATGCAGGTTGCTATATCCTGACTATCATACAGCAGTGCTTTGGGATAGCATTTCTTCCTTGTGGTCACTCACAACACAGAGAGAATTTCTGTAGGTTTTTCTCTCTTGGCCACCAAAGACGACAACTTAGCACTGTGTATTGGGTAGTGTTCATATTTTTTGGTCTGTGTTTGGGCCAGCCACCTGTGAAAGTTTTGTTCCTTGCCTGCCAAGTTCACTGACAAACGGGAGCCTTGTCCTTGGAGAGAGAGTTTCTTGTATAAACTGTTTTAATTGGTGTCCTGTGATTGGCTCATTGTCTGTAGAGGACATCTGAAGGAGAAACTGAAGAGAAGATGAAGTAAAGCCCCCAGACCCAAACAGATAAGACCCCTTGAGTTAAAGAGCACATGCAATAGGGAAATTCCAAAGTACTCACTCATGCACTGAAGGGGTACACTTGCATAACCAAGGTGGCAGACTGAGAACCTTTGTCTGGGCAGTACTGACCACACCTGCCTTGACAGACACAATCAGTTAATGGTACAAGAGCAGTCAGCTGGGTTTTCTGGGTGGGGTTTTTGCTTCACACAAAGGACTACTTTTCTATAGTGGGAACACCTGCACATGCGAGCCATCACCCCTCCAAAAGACACAGCTGCTGTGGAGGATTCTATGATGTTGGGAGTGGGTAAGGTAACTTCACTTGTGACACCTGAGTCAGTAGGGTGTCATATTCTCTTATTGTTCTCTTTTTCTCGGGTTCCCGTTTACTTGGCCTCTCTTTTGCAATAAATATTGGGTTTATTGTTGAGTTTTCAATGTCGTCTTTTTTTTCAATCTTGGTATCCTTTCGAACTCACCCTGATACACACCGTCATGGTTCTGCTGCCTTTATACCTGCATGGTGTCACATTTCATCTCCCTGAGATCCGTACTTTTGTTCAGCTATCCACAGTACCCCCAAGGTTCAATACCCCAGTATTGTTTAACTTATTCATAAATTACTTGGACGAAGGGGCAGATGCCTCATCAGCAAGTTTGCTGATGACACAAAGCTGGGAGGAGTGGTCGATACCTCAGAGGGCTGTGCAGCCCTTCAACACCTCGACAGGAGGGAGAGATGGGCAGAGACAAACTGTCTGAAGTTCAGCAGGGTCCTGCACCTGGGGAGGAACAATCCCATGTTCCGAGACAGGCTGGGGGCTGACCTGCTGGAAAACAGCTCTGTAGAGAAGGACCTGGCGGTCCCGGTGACATGAAGCTGTCCATGACCAGTGGTGTGCCCTTGTGCCACAAAGGCCAAAGGGATCCTGGGCTGCATTAGGAAGATCATTGCCAGAAGGTCAAGGGAGATGATCCTGTCCCTCCACTCAGCCCCAGTGAGGCCACACCTGGAGTACTGTGTCCAGTTCTGGGTTCCTCAGTACAAGATGGGCTATGAGGATGATTAAGGGACTGGAGCATCTCTCTTAGGAGGAAAGGCTGAGGGAGTTCAGCCTGTTCAGCCTCAAGAAGAGAAGATTGAGAGGGGCCATTATCAATGGCTATCAGAATCTGCAAGGAGGATGTCTGAGGATGAAGCCAGGCCTCATATGCTGGTGCCCAGCAATAGGACAAGAGGCAATGAGCAGAAACTGATGCACAGGAAGTTCCACCTGAATATGAGGAAGAACTTCTTTACTGTGTGGATGACCCAGTATAGGAGCAGGTTTCCCAGACATTGTGGAGTCTCCCTCACTGGAGATACCTGAGAACCATCTGGACACAATCCTGTGCCGTGTGCTCCCTGCTTGAGCAGGGACATTGGATCAAATGGCCCACTGTTGTCCCTTCCAACCTTGCTCATTCTGTGATTCTGTGCAATATATTTAAGTAACTGAGGTAGGATTTGAAAAACTGTGCTTACTAGTAGGTTTAGAGATGCTTGACTTCCAACCAGGCTCAGTAAAGCCATCTTGAAGGACCAACCAAGAATGGGGATGGCTGCCACTGATGGCTCACAAAGAAAAGATCAGCGGTAGGAGGAGAATGCACATAGAGAGTGAAGAGTATGACAGTTATGGTTTTCATGCAGGGGATCTACCCTAGACTGTGGAAAAAGCAGACTGAAAAGAAGGTGTAGGAGACTGAGGAAGGAAGTGGACAGAGAAATTAGATGCTGAGGATGTAGGGTTAGGAGGGAGATGATGCAATCAGTCATTTGGCACTGGGCAGAAAAAATTGCAGTCAGAACTGCAGAAAATGTTTATCAATGTCCACTTCAGCTGTGTCTGCAGCTTTTCCAGTTGTCTGGAGACTCTGGATGAATCCTCTTGGCATGTTTTGTTGAAGGCAACAAAGTAGAGGGGGGAACATATAGCACCCACATTTTAGTTTCCCCAAGGGGACAGATAGTCTGTCACGCAATGTTCAAAATCTAGGGGATTCTTGGGAAAGGCACATTATATCCAGTGAAGTTATCACTGTACTGGCATAATAAAGTGAGCTCTCAGACCTGAACTGTGTTTCCTGAACTGTGTGCCTTGATGGTTTCTGAGCACATCTTTTACCAAGGCTTTTTTCTTGAATGTGCATAACACTGCAGAAACTTTTGACTGTGTTTGTGTGTCAAGTTGATATGTGCGAGGAAAAAAAAAGGGCTAGAACTCCACCAGCTCCTCAGTTTTTAGATCCAAGTCTCCCTGAGTGCAGCTGGAGAATCCTTCTGTGTACTGATAGCTGAGGGGCATTAACCCTAACCCACCTCCCAAACCACCAGTCCCACCATCCTCCTGAAAAGACAGTTTAGGAGGGAAACTTGCTGTTTAAATAGACTTCCCCTGAGATTCATTTTATGCCTGCAGTAGATGCAGGCATTCTCTACTGCTGAACTATAGTGCAAAAGCATCTTTGAGAGTTATCTGCAGACGCCTGCCTTCAAAGCAGAGCTTTGCATAAGCTTAGTAGCTTTTCCCCACCAGCAAAGGAAGCTGTCTGACTGCAGCACGCAGCTTTTGCTGTGTAACCACACTGCTTTTAGGACTTGGTGCCAGCTTAGCTAGGCAGTCATGGTTCACACCTCCTCACACCCCCAGGCAGTGTCACTTGGCCAGCGAAAACTTGTGGTTGGTGTTGGCCAAGTAGCGTGACTGATGCTGGCCCTGGTTCTACAGCGTGTGTGCTCGGGGCACTGCTGGGGTCTTCCTCACTGAACCTGCTCTAAAGTCACATTAAATAACAGGCAACAGTTGTGGTTCAAAAGTCGATGAGAAAATGGCAAATGATATTTCTGGCCTGCTGAGTCAGGCAAAGGAGTTGGGGAAGGAGGGGTTTGGAACTTTTTGATGATGACTTGGCAAGGATTAATAATTTCTGGCAGATTGAAAAGACCCATTGGGCATATTAGAAAGTCTTGAAAAGGCCCTTTTTGAGCAGAACTGAAAAGGCAGAAATCTAAGCTCTGAATATGAAGCTGCTTGATAGCTTCACAAGACCACTTACTATCAATCTCATCCTCTTAGCAACTGTATGAACAGCAGGGCATATGATTGAATGTTTTTCACATAAACGTTGTGAAATAAACTGCACTGCCCTTCCTGCTGCAGTCAATGTCAGGTGTGCAGGATAAAAAAAGGGGCTGAGACCCACTCCAGATCGTGGCATCTTCTGCATTTCAAATGTGAGTAGCGCTGCCTCTCCACAAGCTACACAAGATTGAATTCATCACACTTTCCAGCACACTGCTAAGTAAAACAGAAGACTGATATACTACTAATAGTTGAGGCTTCTTATAGCAGCCTCATCTGTTATCACATCCTCCGCCATCGCTCAACTTCTACTCCCACCTCGCAGTTACTCTGGCCCTCGTACTCTGTTTATCTTGCTCTTCCTCTCCTGACTCCATGCCTCTTCCCATGCTTCTCACTTTCCTGCCTTCTGACCCCTGAAGCCACCAGCTCATGAAAGTCCTCGGGAAAAATCACTTTAGCCATGACATGAGGCAAAAGCTCTGGATGACCTTCATGGGATGCCATCAGAGATCTGTGTTCCTGGCTCTCAATGAGGTGATGGTATAGCACGGTGGAACTCTCTGAACTCCTCTGGGCCTCAGTTTCTTCACAAAGGGGAAGAAGTACCTTATAACCTTACTCAGAGCAGATAATTGGGTTCTCTGTGTGTCTTGAGGTCTGGTAAATCAAAGTCTGGGTTTGGTGGGAGTGACTGGTTTCACTGGGAGCATGAGCAGAGACTTAGAATGAATGAAAAGACATTTAGGATTTAGCCCAAAGCATCTATTATGAATATGTCACTAAATCCATCCTAGCACAACTTGTGTGGTTAAAGAATAGGACAGGAGCTCCAGGCCTGACCTGGAGCTCAGTCTGGGGGATCTGAGGAGAGAGGGAGAATTTAATTCTATGTAAGATCACTATTAACTGACATTCTGTCATGATGCTTTAGAGAAAAGAGAGGGGATGATTACAGAGGGAGAGCAGGAGCCGCAAAATAGCACTTTTATTTTTCAAAACCTTCACATAGCTTGGCAGAACAAATGACAACAGAAGTTAAAACAGCACTTTTCAATTTTCCATTCTTTATTTCCAAATGATTCTTCTCTGGAACTGCAATTAGGATATTTATTTCCCTGTCTTGGGCTTTTTCAACACAGAATGTCAAATGGTTCCATAGCAGATACAGAAAAGCATGACTCTTATCTCCATATAAATATAAGTGCATCTCTCTGCAGGACTATATCCAGGTACTTGTGATGCTCATAGTCACCATTACCTGATTACCTAAATGCCTTGCATTAATGGATTTCTCCTTGCATCACTTGAGTGAGGAGAAATTCAGTGCTAAATTACTACCCTCATCTTACAGAGAGAAAACTGCATCTTAGAGAAGTTACAGCATTGAATGGCTGCTCACAGGAACCCTGTGCAGATCAGGAACCTCAGTCAAAAGCAATGCAGACACAGAGGCCAAATCTGCTTCCGCAAGTACCCGTCTAACATCTATGGGAACTAGATTTCCCTGAAACTGCCCCCTGGCCAGCCTCAGACAAACAAGATTTCAAACCACTACATGATAATCTCAAAGCCGTACCAGAATTTTTAGCTGACAGAAACTGAAGAAAATGCAGTTGTCAAGGTCAGTTCACACCTGTTGAGAATTTGTCCCAATCCATTCACTGCATTCAATTCCACAGACAATAAACCACTGAAATTTTCAAATATATACTCTTAATACAAGATCAAAACAACCTTCTAGATTGTAAGATCTTAGGGAATTTCTCTCTCTCTACTGGATTGAGAAGAACAAAAATTTTTAATATGAGGCAAGTGTTCTCTCTTTGCAGTATTGCTACTAAATTTAGCAGAAACAAGGAATTTCCTTTGTGGGGAATTGTGTTCTCATGAGAAATTACTCACAAGAAACTTTTGTCCAGCTCTGTATTCCCATCAGATTCCATTCAGCATCTCCTGGTGAGGATATGGATCAACAGCAAGTTTTCCAGGCTCATATGAGGCCTGGCTAGGGAATGACAGCACTGGGCCCCAGCTCTTGCAGCGATTTGCATCTCTCAGCTCTTGGGCAAAGGTGTTGACAGAGATCACTGGAAGTTATAGGTTTACTTCCTGATAAAAAGAAAAAATGGTTTAAAAGAGTTAAAAAAAAAAAAAAAAAAAAAAAAAGGAAAATCTGGCTATCTGGCTCTATCACAAAGTACATGAAGCAGGAGTTCATCAACCTTCCAACACATCCAGCCTTCCCATAGCCCCATGTCCATCCACGTGCTAAATGGACACCAAATGGTGAGTGATTAACATCCCTGTGATGTCTGTACACCAACATTTTAGCCCTCAGTGAGACCAGTGTTCAAATTTCTATGTCACAATTTCATCTCAGGAATTTAGGTGATTCCTGTGAAGTCCACACACCTAATCAAGGGCTAAAGAAAAAGAACTCAGCCTGAGGGGAGGAGGTACTTTGGTGCCAGAACAGTTTGCAATTGCAGTGCCTTGGTAATTCTGCTCTGCTTCTGGTATCGAAGGGATTGTGCAATCCTGTTTTTCTTTCTCTCTTAGAAACCTGTTTTCAGCTAACATTGTTGGTAGCCTGTTGTAGCTGTTAGCCTGTCACAATGAAAGTATGGCTTTATTTATCACAAAAATAAATAAATAAATAAATAAAAAGACAGCCTGTGTGCCTGCTTCTCTTCCTGTGGGAATTTGATCAAATTTAGCTTTACAAATGCAGAAATAATTCCATTCAGAAGGGAATCCAGAGATACTGTTGTCTGTGTGGTACCAATGCTTTGTTTCAGAACTGCAGGAAATAGAGGCTCCATTTTCCAGCACTGAGATTTTCCCTCCATAACTAAAGAAGCACATGAAACCTTTTCACAAAACTTCTCATCTTCTCCCCACCTGAAGGTTTCTCCAGCCCCCTCTTGCTCCAGGTCACGTCATTCTAGTGTCTTGTCAGCTTTCAGATTGTCTCACCTTTTCATTCCTATTTTCCTTTGCATTTGCTCATTATCTCTCTCCTTCATTCTCAGCAATCTAGTCCTTGGTTTAGGTAAATGTCAGCTTTTCTCTCTACTGGCATGAAATGATATTTTAACACTTATGCTCTTGCTTTGCCTCAACTCATAATTAAAATGATCAAATTAGTTATTTCATTAAAGTCAATGGCCAGACTGCTAACAGAACCCCTCTTTTAGTCTAATTTAACATCAGCATACAGTGCACTGAAGGTGCCCAGCACTTAACATATGCAAGCATCAGCTAGAATAGATACCAGTTAGCTCTGGACCTAACTAAAATCATCTGTCACCACTGAGCCAGCACAGAATGTTTTACACCAGTTGCTGTAATTTAAGTATCTGGCTCCAGGTATTCCAGTGCCTCCACTCAACAGTATCACACAATTTGTCTTAGCTCCTGTTCCAGACGCCTGAATTCAGCACAACAGCTGTCTGGTATGAACCAGGGTTGCTTTAACCTACCTTCCTGCCCTCCTGGTCCTAGGGGGTGGCCCTTTGTCTGCTCCTGGTGTTGGTTAAAACAGACTCAGGATCTTTGACAGAGATCCCACCATCCCTGAACAGCCAGCAAGCAGCGCTGCTCTGCCTGTGACCTCCTTTCCTCCCACAGGACTTACCACAAGACCCCTAATACATGAGCTGTATTCATTTAAAATCACTGTATTGACTCAGTGCCGGGGAGAGATCCATGAGGGTTATGGAAAGGCACTAAAACAGCTGTACTGTAACGAGAATGGGTCTGATTAGTGACACACATGTGCCAAAAATTTCCTTGAAGGGCTAGGTTAGCACACACAGGAGAATAAGGGCTTTGGTATTTAACAGTTGCTTTATTCTTTGCCGTTGCAAAAATGAACCACTTGATACTGGTATATTCTTGCCTTTTCAAAAATTAATATCTCGGTGCCGATAGCAATAATTTAACTGAGTGTGCCTTCTGAGGGATTTGTTATCCTTACCCAAGTGTGCCCCATAACGGGAAAAACTAATTTTACACAGAATAATCTGAATATTAATGAGCATACTGAGGTCTTCCTGTTCCCAGAGTGCGAAAGGGGAGCTGGGACTGAGAACTGAGAAGTCTCGTGGACATCTAAACTTAGTGTTCATGCTGCCTTCAGGAGGATGGAAATCCACCACCCACGTGCCCTAAAGCAGCACTAGCAAACCTTGTTCCTCACGGCTGCAGCATCAGCAAGGAGGCAGAGTGCAACAGTCAGGTTCTCTGCACCTCTGGTACCACTAAAGGCCATAACTCTGTGCTTGTATATCCCCAATGTCTACGCTAATTTCATTTGAACAATTTTCCTTGGCAATTACAAGTGTTTCAGGGACTACTGCAAACCAGTTTGAATTTATCCTGATATTACTTTACCTATGCTATGGCCTATGGAGAAGATTTGCTTTGCACAGAACAAATGCACTGTGGGCTTTTTGCTTCCTTTCCTGTGATGTCCTGTATGGGAATCTTTTAATGCCATGAAAGTGTTGGTAAATTTCAGAAAGTCACATATATTTGAGACAGGTTCTGTGGACACTACATGCCTGCACAGAACTGGAAGTTGGGGTTAGGGCTGGATGCTTTGGAAGGGAGGGAGAACTTACTATAACAAGAAACATTACAGACATAGAAACTATCCTATGCATTCAATATGTCTGTTTGCTTTCTTTACTTTTATGTTTTCATGTGTCTTATCACAATGACATCTGTGCTGAAGAGTTTTGCCATTAGAAGCTAGGATAATATCCCAATTATTAATTTTGTAAGTACCTCACCTTCAGACATAATCTTACCCAGACAAGTATTGATTTCAGTGTTTCATATTTGCCCTTATTAAAGCAAAAAACTTTATTAACTCCTAGTGGGTGCTTATAGAAATGATGGAGACTGATTCTTTTCAGGGGTGCAGATTGAAAAGACATGAAGCAGCAGACACAGGTTGAAGAAAGGGAAAATTCTGCTGTTTGCAAGGAAGCATTTTCCACAATGAGGATTGCTAAGAACTGAAAGAGGTTGCCCAGGCAGGCTGTGGTATCTCCATTCTTAGATATATTAAATTCTGTTGTAGGGGACCCAACTTTGAAATAAGTCTTGCTTTGAACAGGAAGTTGAACTAGAGACCTTCAGAGGAACTTTCCTACATATAGTAACCCTTGATTCTAAAATATATTTATAAGAAAAAACTATTACCCATACTGCTTAGGCAAAGAGCAATTCTTTTCACTTTTAATGGCATAGAAGGTGAGCCTGAAGACTTTGATACTTGAGTTCATGAGTTTCTTCAGCTTTTGAGGTGAAGAGCTACCAGGTTCTTTGTGAAAACAATTTTTTGGAAAGGAATATGTAATGCACTTCAAAAAGCTTACACAGCAAAATATAATTGAATCAATCAGTAGGCAGATTCACAATTTGGTTTTGCAACTGTTTTTTCAGAAGACTCTTAGATTTCCTGCCTCCCAACAATGGAAAAGAAAGAAATCCACATAACCTGTGTGTAACCAAAGCTGCTTGACCTTAGTCAATCATAAATTCATAGAAAATGGTTCATGGTAGATGGAGAAACAGTGCCAGAAACTGTTCAGCTTCAGCACATGATTTCAGTCATAACCTATTCATGGACAATTTGTGAACAGAAAAAAAAAAGGGAAAAGGTAACATTTATCAGAGAAATAATTGATGGCAAATTATTCTCCCAGCACTGCCTGTTCTATATACTCTGTTAATGCTACCCTACCTCACAGCTTGGAGGAAGGAAGACTGATATATTAGCCAGGCTACTGTATTAACTGTCACTCAACAAATGAGGAAATCACTATATTTGCAAACTCTGCAAGCAAATCACTGTAAGCAATCTTCAGGAACATGCACATTGACTTAATTCTCATGTAACTGTTGGCATGTCTGCAAATAGAACTGGCACTGTTTAATTTAAAGTCTGATTTATCATTACTTTTATGGTGGACACACATGTTGCCTTTCCTCTTTTTTTTTTTAAATTTTTCTTTATAAAATCTAAATTCTTTGCATTTAACTTAAATCTTCAGTAATATCTATAATGTCATCACTAGGTCATTAAGGCCTAAATAACAACTAAGTTCAGACCAAATTTTTAAACAAGTTTGCTTTTGCATTTTAAAAGCATGAGGACTTTAATTCTTAGACATGCTCTTGCTCTGTCCTCCCCCAACACTTGATTCTATGATTCTGGTGATGCCAAATAACATCAACTTGTATTCTGGAACTCACAGGTTGCACTGTGATCTAAATGAGAGATCAAAACAGAAAAACAAAAAAAAAGAAACTCAGTAAAACTTCTTTATTGGACATATGGATTCCACAAACATCTGGATGTGAACCTCTTTCAACTGAATTTCCTCACAGGATCCTGGTTACTCCTGGGCTTCGTGACATTATTGAACAGGGATGGGACTACTTACCACCTAAACATCAGGTTTTTTGAATTATGCCTTTAGCTGAGCTCCAAAAATTGCAGCAAAGTATTAATCTATTAGACAGTGTATTCACATTTCTACCAAGAATTCTGAAGGGCTTGCAGTGCATTTTTTATGATTTCCAACTCAAGCAGAAGTAAGCAATGGTCTGATACCTGATCTGGTACTTCTACATATCTCATCAGTGGATCATCATTGTCCTGTGTCACCTTCTTCTGCTCCACATTCCACATTCATCTTATCTTTCTCAGAGCTACACCGCTTCACAAGTCCACTTCTTTTCATGAGGCAACAGCTTTTTAAGTTGGGTCCCAAATTTCCTTCTGCCCATTATGCCATCCCTGACACTGGCCAGAAGAGCATTCCTAAGAAAGAGAAAGAACTAAGTCAGCATGTGCTAACATTGCCCAGCTTCAGTGAATTGTCGTCTAGGAATTCCTGAGACAGGCATTGTGTACATGCATTTAATAGTCCTTAGCATGTATTTTCTTCTATGAATCTACCTAATAGTTTCTTGAACACACGTAAACTTTTAGCATCTACAGCATCCCCTGGGAAGAGATTTCACAGCCTAATTATACATTACACGAGGGACTGCATCTTCTTGTTTGCTCTGGACCTGCAATCTGAAGCCTGATAGTTTCATTATTATCCCCTAGCCCTTGTATTGAAAGAGGTCATGAAGTAAACCATCATTTTTTCCATACCACTCAGGTTTTAAAAGGCCTCTTTAAAATTCCTCCTCTGCTGTTTCCTTTTGAGAGAGAAGACTCTTAGTCTTGTAATCATCCCTCATACAGTTATCCCTTGCTGTGTCACCCTTTCCACGATATTCAGTTCTACTGTACATTTTTGAGACAGACAGGACACAATTCCATACATCCATAAGAATGTTAGCAATGTGGAGTCACAGAGAGACAGGACAAAGTTCTCTTTTATGATGTTAGCTCATTTTTCCAACATCTGATTTTTATTTTTGACCCCTATGGAGCAGCACGGTTGTGTTTTCAAGCAAAGTATTATTCCACCCTCAAAACTTTGCTCCTAAGTGAAATAAAAACCTACTCTGCACCCAGTCAAACATTTCTGAATCTTCAAAGGCTAAGTATCTTCTGTCTAGGCCCTGCAAAATTTCCTTCATTTCATTAGACCTAATCTTGGCCCAGTGGTTATTCTTGCTCCTTGATTCCTCATAATCACAGAATCATTTAATGGTTTGGGTTAGAAGGGAGTTGAAAGATCATCTTGTTCCAACCACTCTGCCATGAGCAGGGACATGTTTCACTATGCCAGGTTTCTCCAAGCCCCATCCAACCTGGCCTTGAACAATTCCAGGGATGGGGCATTCACAGCTTCTCTGGGTGACCTGTTCCACTGCTGCACCACCCTCACAGAGAAGAATTTCTTCCCAATCGTAACCTGCCCTCTGTCGGTTTAAAGGCATTCCCCCTTGTACTATCACTCTCTGATCTTTTCAGAAGTTCCTCTCCAGCTTTCATTTAGGCCCCTGAAAATGGTAAATTATGTCTTCTGTCCCTGATGATAGAGGATTGATGTCTTTCTTGCACCCACAGAGCTCTGATATTTCTGCAGTTAGTGGAACATTTTCTTTGCATAGAAAAGAAATGTGAGAGTCTCCAGAGGGGCTTAAGACTACTGACATGTTGTACTGGAAAGGATGAAGCATCACCTGCAGAACCCACACAGAAATGTTCACCTATGTGAAGCAGAAACTTTTATTATTGTGTTCCATTGAACACATGTATAAATCAGGTTATTGCACACCTTCCCCCACATGGACAGCTTTTCTGAGAAGTGCAATTGCAAGACCCAAAATGAAATAAAATTAAATTAAATATAGATTAATGATTTGGTTGCCAGAAAATTTTACATCGTACATAATAGAGATGGCACAGACCAGCACCACCCATCACTGAATCAGAAAAACAGCAGATGAGCAATCACCCAACCAGAAGCATGGCTGGGTCCTGTTTGTTTCTCTGGTTGTCTCCTTGCCCACTGGCAGCAATGGGAATGAAAACATACACAACAATTCAATAATGCAGAGTTTCTGAGAGGAAAAAAGAAACACTAAAATTACCTAGGCTGAGTGAGCAGGATGGAGCCCTGAGTGCTCTTGCACTGGGCTACGTCTGTTGTTTTCTTCAGCTTCTCTGTTTAGTTCACTGCCCCCTTTTTTGTGAAATAGTGTTAAAAAGAAGATGTGGTATCAGCAGTGATGGATTCACTGAACCGTGATGCAGGGTGACCACCTGAGAGCCTCTTCAGTAGCATGACAACTTTTAATTTTGCATTATTCTAAGAGTCTTCCTTAAATGTATGTCACCACATTCCTCACAGCTTCTTGGAGCCCTTCAGTCTATGGAAAACAAACTTTTTATCACACTATAAAGACAGAATTTCTCAAAGGTTACCACTTAAGCTTATTATCCAGACAGACACTGCAACGTTTTGTGTTATGTGTGGGACTCACTTAACCTTAGTCCTATATATAATACAGAGTGATGCTTGACCCTGGATTAATCTAAACTGGGTTAAGGGATGATTTTTCTCCCAACATTTTTTCTGTACTTCCTTTAGATCATTCTTATGGACAGCACTGGGGGCCATGAACCCCAGTGCCACAGAGATTGAAGACAAGCCTTCTAGATCTTTCAACAGAAAGTATTATCTTCTTCCAAAACACCTTAGATTCATAAAATAGTTCTGAAATGTTTCTAAATGTGGGCTTTTTTGTCTACATCTGCTGAATAGAGAAATGAATTTGGTGAGCTCAGAGAATACTGGAGGAAAATATGTGTCTGCCAAACCACTGAGTTGGCAAAGAATTTGCTGAGGACTTCAGCAACTTGCAGCTGGCCAAAGGCCTGCTATTTATCTAATTCATTGACAACAGTAATATTTTCCTTCTTCAGGCATCAAGCTGAAAGATATCGTAATGTACTTGGGCTGTAGCCCCATGATAGAGTGCAAAGATTGGATTTGCTCATCCTGTGTCTTGCGCGAAACTCTTTTGACAAGAGTTTTCCTCTTGCCCTAAAAGCAAATAGTTCTGCTAGATAGAAATACCAGGTTATCTGGTTTACTGCATGCCTGAATGTTACTTCACATGTCATATCAGATATTGTGTTTGTGGGATTTCCACTGTGATCTGACAAGTAAAAGTATTTCAGAACTTCTGAACTCTGTGAAATGAGCTTGGCTGGATGTTGGCCAGTCAGCTAGAAGAACCTGAAGTCCTGGAAAACACAGGCAAGTATCTCATCCAAGTGTTCAGAGCTCTTACTGAAGGCTGGAAGTCTGTGTTCATTTCTCTTTTCTGCCTGAGAAAAGAAACACTGGAGCTCACGTCTGCTGTCTATAAAAGAACCTTCTTGACTTCTACCCTTTGGGAAAGGTGAGGGAGCAGCTCCATCCATCACCTCTGCTGAAGTTTATCACACTGCAATGGAAAAAAAAAAAAAAGAGAGAGAGTCACTTAGTATAGAGACAAGAATGAAAATGATTCACCAATTGAGTGATAAGTGTATTCTACTGGGAGGGAAAGAGTTTGAAGCTCCAGCTCTTCTTCAGAAGGCTATGTGGCTTTTTATTTATGTGATGGACATTTCATCTCACATCTCAAGGTTTTCCCACTCCAACACTGCACCAATTACCTGCCAATCAGGCTATCAGATTAGTACACACACTTTTTTTGGATGCCACCTCTGGTTTCCATAGAAACTGTTTTAAGCCTCATCTCTCTCAATTAGAACTTTTTATAATTTCTCCACCCTTATGAAATCATTTGTGGTTCCCATGGTAATCACTGAAAATTTGTTATCTCTCAAGTACTGCTTCTTAATCAGAGACTTCACCAATAGCAATGTCCTGCTGGAGCAGTGAAAGGCACGAGAAGGTTCTAATCCTCTTTTTGAGTCAGTAGTGTGTCCTTTACTCATCCTTAAGACCATGCAGCACAAATCCATACTGAGCCTCCTAACTCTGACATCAAGGTTTTGGTTACTGTAGAGTTCATTATATTCACAGGGCATGCTGCTGCCTCCCCATTTTATTGATTGCAAAGATGATGCACACAGACTCACACTCATTTTGCCCAAGATATTTCCATAGGTCAAGTTATCTCACCCAAGCCTGTAGGAAAATTCAGGTCTCCTTTGCTGAATTTAGCTCCTGTGTAGTTCCCTTTTCACTGGATGCACTGTCATGCAAAACAGTTGCCAATGGTCCAAATGTCCCATCTGCGTGCATTTCATGTTCAGGTGTTTAAAACACCATATAGTCAATGCAAACCAAATTTTATGTATATATATACACACACACACAAATACACAGACTGCATTTACAACACATTTTATACACTTTTCTTCAAACCTAGACAGTAATTTCCATGACTGTAAATATGCCAGTGAGTGAAAATATGTCCTACTACAGTCCCAGACGGAGAAGTTTTGCTTTGACACTAAATGCAGAGGTGTAGCTGATCTCAGCCCATTTTTTCAAAAATCAGCCCACGTTGCTCCTCCTCGCTAACAGCCCTACTTGGATTCCTGCTCTGAGCCTGTTACCAAGGTTCAGAAACACGGCTTGTGGATAGTATCCCCTGGCCTTTCTTATTCAACTCCAACATTTCATCAACTTCTACCTTTATCCATCTGCAATGCTGCTGGACAACTTTCCATCAAAACAGTAGTTGAACTTGCCTCTTGCAGCTGATTCTGGAGTTCTTCCTGTACCAAATGATACAAAACAAATTAACTGTGTTTCAAATTTTGATGTAGTATAAAATGCAGATACGTGTGTATATCTTCTGTATGTACAAGGCATCACTTGATGAGGTACAATCCCATTCCCTTCTGTTCTAGTGAAATCAGGAACTCACCCAGGAGTTTCAAGTTGAGAGGGGACTACTGTATCCAACCATCATGATTTCTATCCAGCAACTGCTGCACTGAGTTTCTCCTTCTTATTTGAAATAAGTAATACTTTTTGGAAAGATATCTACTCTTGATTGAAATAAATTAAAGTGAAAGAAAACCATTTTCCTCTGCAGAACCATCCTAGGAGTTACTTGATAGAGGTATATTTTTTCTTTGCAGTAAAATATGTTACAACACATCGATCCTATAGAAATTGCTATTATTTTTATTTTTAGGAAGAATCTTATTGTATACTTCAAATGTGGAATTTCTTAAGTGACATTAATCCAGAGTCTGAGCTGGAGGGACATGGTCTCGATATGAATATATGAATATCATTATGGCCTGGAGATTACGTGTGTGTTTGGATTTCTCCTCTGAAAAGGGGAATGCCATTTGCAGCACTGCAGAAAGGGCTCATTGATGGAGATAATGGACAGATACCAAATCATGCAGAATTGCTCTGTTTTGTTCATCAGATCAGGTTATCTCCCTTGCCCCCAGAAACCCAAGGTTCATAGTCTGTTCATACCCCATGTCAGGAGTTGTTCTTTATGCTTCAGAAGAAGATAAATTTTTAAGCTGGGGGATATTAGTTGCCTACCAGCAAGCTTCTTCAACATCCTGTTCCTTCTGTGGTTGGCTACAGTCAGGGATTTCCCATGGGAGGGAACTCAATCTTACTCTATACAGCTGGGAGGCTTTAGGAGGTGTTCATTATTCTGCCCCTCTGCTCTGCTCTGGTGAGACCCCACCTGCAGAGCTGCTTCCAGCTCTGGGGATCCAGCACAAGAAGGACATGGAGCTGTTGGAGTGAGTCCAGAGGAGGCCATCAAGGTGATTAGATGGGTGGAGCACCTCTGCTATGAAGAAACATAGATAATTGGGACTGTCCAGCCTGGGGGGGAAAAAAAAAAAAGCTTTTGGGCGACAATTTTGGCCTTCCAGTATCTGAAGGGAGACAACAAGAAAGATGGAGAAAAACTTTTTACAAGGGCATGTAGTGACAAGATAAGGGGGAATGGCTTCAGACTGAGAGTAGGTTTAGATTAGATATCAGGAAGAAATTCTTTACCCAGAGGATGGTGAGGCCTCAGATTGCCGAGAGAAGCTGTGAATGCCCCATCCCTGGAAGTGTTCAAGGCCAGGTTGGATGTGCTTGGTCTAGTGGAAGGTGTCCATGTCCATGGCAGGGAGGGTAGGAAACAGATTTTCTTCAAGGTCCCTCTCAACCCAAGCCATGATCAGTGCTAGGCAGGGTATGGTTTTATTTTAAAGCCATACATAATGTTTAAAACAACAGAAACACAGAGTTGTTAAGACACAACAGAATTTGAGAGGAAGTTCTGTAGCCTTGTATTCAAAAAGTCATCTTGAAGGATTTGACATTTTGGTGTGTCAAAAAGGTTAAATGAATACCTGATAATCATGTAGCTGAACACTTGGAATCCATTTGATAAAAACATAAAGGTATTTGGAAACTACAGCGGATCAAAGAGCAGCAAAATCATTTCATTTATATGTTGAAAAGCCAGTGGGATGTCACACTTTTGAGAACAAGACCTCAGAAGGAAGAAAATTGTCACAGAGGCTTATTAGCAGCTTTATTAGACACTGACAGTAACCCCAGTTGGAAAGAAAATAAGAATAATAAATAAAATAGAATTTTGTTGGCACTGCCACAGAAAGTCAGAATTCATCAGAAAGAACATTATTTTCCCACAAAACACTGAAGTTGCAAGGGGATTTCAGCTCAGTTTAATGTCTCCCAACAAGCAACACCTTACAGAAAGACCACATTTCTTAAAAATAGAAGTTAAGTGTCAAAAATCTCTCCCAAGCATTTTAAAGGCTCCAAGGGCCAAGCTATCAGAGAGTTTTGATGCATTTATTGGTATCCTGCCCCTGGGAAATGGGGAAGGGCTCTGTATAAATGCTGTATGCTTGTGTGTGGATATGTTTTACAGACAGAGATATGAACACAGAAGTACCTTTGCAGTGGAAACCCTTGTGGTGGATCAAAGGTTTGCCTCTGTCTTCTTTCCTCCACTTTCCATGTCCACCTCTCCAAAAACCTCCCTTAAAATGGACTGGTTTATACAAAGGGAGCTGATTTGGGCCCACCACAGTGTGATGTGCATGACTTGCTGCCATCAGCACATCAGTTCTGCTTCCATCCCACCCTGCACCTCAGCTTTGCCTCCTCAGAAGTAGAGCCCAGCAGAAGACAAAAAAAAGGAACTAGAGATCAGGGAGTCAAACTTTTAATTAACATCTCAAATTCCACTTGAGTGTTAGCTTCCTAAATTGATGATTTTTAACAGTGTAAGCATTTTCTGGTCCCCAAGAAAGGTTTGGAAATAAGGAGTGGTAGAGGCTAATGATGCAGGTGAATATGCACCTCATTGACATGAAAAAAGGATATTACAGCTGTTTCCTACCAAGAGTTAAGTTTCTCCAAGGCTGAATGAACAAAATGACAGTGCTCTAAATAGATTGCACTTATGGATCTTGAGCTTTTTTCATGGAAAGATGTAGGCACCATAATACCCTCCTGGTATGCAAGGATCCCAGACATCTGAAATCCAAGATCCAGCAGTCAGTGCTGATTCCCTGGATTCCTCTGCATCCTGTTTTCATCAGTTCTTCACCTGGCACAGGGTAGTGGGAGGGTTTCTCTGTCTTTTCAGAACTGAAGGTCTTGAAGCCCCCTAATCCTCCCTGAAGAAGCAACATGGGTCCATCCTCCAAAAGACATAAGCAGGGTTTTTTTCCATTTTAGAGCAATCCTGTAGCACTCACAGTTGTCATTTCTATGTGTCTCACTCATGCCTGTAACTCCAAGCTTCAGAAGGAAAGGTCTTCAGCCCTTGCATCAAAAGAAGAGAGGAGGACAACCTGTACTGCCCTGTTAGGTAAAAGCACAAGAGGGCTTTGGTCTGCTCTGACTTCATGGGGAAAAGGGGGGTCTGGGTTCCTCTGACTGCTTCTGTGCCCGTTAAATGCAAAGGGTATGACCAGCCCTTGGAGGAAGATCACAACCAGATCTGGATCCCAGATGGACTTTAGTGCAGATTCCAGCAGCAGAAAACAGTTTTCGGCTTCTATTCTTGCCTTTCATGTTTATACTCTAACTGCAGGAATCAACTCTAACTCTCCAATAGTACTTCTGAAGTCAGTGGGTCTACTGAGAGCAGATAACCTTTTATTCAGATCAACATCTGAACTAAATCACCATGCTGCAGTACATGAAAGAGGCAAGGTAGGATTCCAGTCAACAGCCTTAAGTCAGTTTGGGCTTCACAGGTCTGCTGAATTTCCCTGGTAAAAAACCCATCTGCACCAAATTCTGCACTGTCTCAGCTGCAGCTGTAAATATAATCCCAGTATTGCAAAGCCTGGAGTAAAATTCCAGCTGTAAGAATAAATAAGTGTGTATATACTTCCATATAGCATGAGAGGTTCTGCTGGAAATTTCACAGGTGATTTTATTTACATCTGTGTCAGTGAGGTCAGAATTTCATCCAAAACATTCCTGGTTTTGTGTTGGCTAGCAAAAATGTTCGCACTCCAACTAAATCTCTCTTATAAATCACCTTGACAGTCCTCATAATTCAACATAATGGGGTTCTTTGCAGAAAGAATTGTCTTTCAGCTGATGCAAGAGGATGGACAAGATAACCTAAGAGAGTTTTATGTCCATGAAAAATTCAATTCTTGACTCTTTTCTTATTCCTCTGTGACTCCACCCATTCAGGAACAGTTATATCCTGATCATTAAGTTTTCTCTCCATTAGTTCCCCAGATCTCTTTGCTAGTCAGTAAGCTGTGGCACTCTCGTACTTAACAATTTCTTTCTTTATATTCTTTGTTCTGAGGCTCATTATTCTACATTTATCTGCACCGAACTGAATTTGTCATCTTTTTGCCCAATTACTTAAAGTGATCTAAGACCTTCTGCGTCTTAACTGCATTGCTCTTCATTGTTTACCTCTCCTCACCGATTGCTGTCACCCAGAAATCTTGCTTTCAATAATTTCCAAGTCATGTCTTCAAATAATGAAGCATTTAAAGAGCCATGGTGTAACATTCATAGTGAAATGCCTTCTCACTTGAGACACAGAAAATAAACACAGTTTCTGTATGTTTTACACATCTTAGTCTGATGCCTTCCTGTCACTCTCTGCTACCTGCAGCCTTCAGATGTAAAAGGCACATACTGAAGCTGCCAATGCAAACATTAATTTATGAGCTGGCTATCTCAGGACCATAAATCAAAGGAATATTTTCCACCTAACTGGACTTCCTAGGTTGGAAAATAACCCTGTGAATACTTTGATGGCTGTGAGACTTAGTAATTATGCAGATCTTTTCTTCCACCTTGGGCAGGGAAAAGAAGCTTTGTGGTGACTTTCTCCAGAGCTGCAATTTCCCACCTAGCTGGAAAGAACCCCTTCTCCTCACTGGTATGGCATCTTCTAGGATAAAGCTGTGATGGTCAGGTCAAGCTCTTCCTCAATCTCAAGGCAGTATCTCTGCAAAACTTCTGAGAGAGCTTGTGACTGCACAAAGTGCCAGAACAAGATGTTCAGAAGTTTTTCCAAAAAATGTATCAACACCACTAGTTTGGACTAACATATTTGAATTACATTTAGCCACCCACCAACACCAGATCAGCGCAGAATCACTGCACTTTAAGAGTATAAAACAGACTGGCACACACTTTGGACAGACAGCAAAAGCCACTAGGAAATCTAATAAAATACAACACAAAACATATGCCTTTACAGCATCCTGGCTTCTAAGATTTTTTTTCCTCCTCCCCTGCCCTACAGATATTCAATACAGAAAATTCTCTAACATCTTCATTCCTAATTTTCTGCTCCAAAAATTCCCTTTCACACATGGGTTACTGGTGGGTAGATGATCCAGTTGGCAAAACTGCATCAGAAGATAACTTAGCTCACTTCTGGATCCTGATCCCTAGAGTGTTCACAAGACAGAGTTCACCAAGACGAGAGATAGAGGAAGATCACTAGGTCATGTTATTCCACCAGACCAATGGTAGATAAGCTACCTACAGGGAAGCTGAGAGCTCAGCACATTTCCTTCGTAGCTCTGTTTGGCTGCTTCTGCCCTAACAAGCAAGGAAATGGGACGAGCAACCCATTGCTTGAAGCTTATCTGCCTCCAGGTTGTAGTTCATGAAATGTTTGGAGTTTCTCCTAGACCTGAAGGAATCAAGTCTCATAAAAATGTGATCAATCACAAGAAGCTTATCTAAGAGGGAAACAATGTTTTCTGGATGGAAAATAAAATGCATCGGGCCATGAGGCACCTGATTTTGAAAACAGAAAAGAAACCTTTCTAATGCTTTTCCAAGAGAAGCTCTTTTATGGTTTTGAAAGACATACTCCAGCAAGTCACAGCTCCTTGAAACCTTTAGGACTAACCTACAGTATATTTTATAGGGCCTTTATAGTAGAACTTTTAGTATTTCTCAGAGATAAGTGAAAACTATCCACTTTCTACTAAAGATGGACATCCAGGATTTGTCTACATTAGAGACATGGTGTAGGTGAGGATTTGCCTTGGAAGTGAATTCCTCAGTCGTACTTGCTGCACTTCCCTACAAAAAAAAATGGCATTGCACCTGAAATATATTTCATTTTGGATTAAACTGAACCAAAAGGTTCCCTGAGAATGCAGCTCAGGCACTTCAGCCCCAGATGGTAATCTCTGAGATCCGTCTACTGACACATTGATGTAAAACCCTCAACTCTTGTACTGTGTGGATGTCAGATATTCAGGTTGGGTTGCTTAATTTTTTTATTGCTATACTAGCAATTTGGATCTGAATTCCTATTACATTTCCCAAAAAAACACACCTGCTTACACCTATAAGGTAGTTGCCACCTCCTGATGGTTTTAATACTAACATGTAAAAAATCTCTGTCAAAAAGGACCAGTGAGGAGGACTGTGTAGTGAGGACTGTGTAGTCTTGTGAACTTCATGAAAGACATGTGAGAGAAATTAGGGAAGGATGTTGCTAATGAGGAATAAAAATAAAAAGGCTAAAGGAGTTACAGGGAAACCAGAAGGACACTGAAGTAATCAATAGAAGTTTGGATGCACAAGGGAGCATGAAACTGCATTAAACAGTAGAAAGAACTATGGGAAAGATCCAATGGCAGGTAGGGGAGCAAGTCCTCTCTTGGCTGCCAGAGAAGAGGACACATTTACGGTAATTTTTCTTCCTTGTGAACAGACGAGAAAAGGTTATTTTACTTTCAAATGACACTACCTTGTTTGGCCATGGACAGTACAGCCTTCCTGTTTCAAAAGTCAGGAAGAGGATAGCCTGGGTTAGCCAGACTCTTTAGTTTTGGATGCCTGTTTCATGGAAGAGAAGGAGCAGCACTGACACACACAGACACACACACACAAACACCAGACTAACTCACCACAAATTCTGAGCACTTTGACCCTTCTCCTATTCTTCACTCTGCTCACACTGAGCATCACATTTAAACCAGGTTGCAAAGTCTTCCAGCGGAGAAAGCATATCAAAACTATTAATTTTCTTTCCCTGGAACACCTCAGTAGATTTTCTGCAGCTTTACAAATACCAAATAAATAATCTTCACCTCTACCTGTGAAGCCTGAGAGCAGGCAACAAGTGCAGTAGAGACGAGTAGAAGATTGAGACACATCCTTCACTTGTGATGATCAGTAAGTGAGATCTTTCTCCATCTGCAGCAGTCCATTGCAGTCTTGATTATTCCTCAAGCTTCCAATTTTACAAAGCCATGGCCGAAGTGCACTTCCAAATAAAAAGCATGAGCAGATATTTTCCTCTCCTTCCTTGACACCCTGCACAAATTCTCAAAGCCATTTGATTATTTACATCATTGTGATCAGCAATATTAGAATAACAAACGTTACAAGGTTACTGATGTATCTTTTGAGGCTGCTGGAAATGCCTAGACTGGCCAGTGGTACTGAATCATAAATCAAGCCTTTCCACGTGGTTTTTTAGGGCAAAGTGTGGAGACATTGAAAGGACTGGCAAACCCCAGCACCTGCATGCAGCATTCATTCACAACTGAAGACTGTTTCCCTCCCAACCCTCCTAATGCAAAAAACAGTCAGGAGCAAAGCCCTTCCCCTTTCTTCCCCTCCTCCCTTTTGCAGCCAGGGCTGGTAGAACACGCAGCAGAGACATGCTGCATCCCATTAAGGCTTGTAGCAGTAAACAGACCCTTCAGTAACACCAGGGATTGTCATGTTCTCAAGTGCAGAAGCTAACAAACAGCTGAGAAGTTTCTGGATGAGCAGTTCACGGAGGCTGCAACAGAAGTTACCAATTTGGTCAGACTTGCCACCGTCTGTCACCAGGGATCGCTTCTCCCAGGCCCTCACTGCTCTGCAGGTGCTGCTCACTGAGAGCCCAGCTCCTCCAGCACAGAAATGCAAATGACAACTCAGAGATCAGGAGATCAGGGAATCTGCACCCTCAGCCTCTCACAAAATTACAGAACTGCCCACCCCTTGTTGTCATCCTTAGCAGGTCTTTAGGAAGTATCTCTGTGGAGTGACCGTTCCTTGCTCTTTTGTTGGCTTTTGGAGCGGAATGTCCAGGAACAGCTACTTCTTGTGCTAAGGGGGCAGATGTATGTCCAACTCTAAAAGAAAAACATTTCTGTGCAAGCATTTCTCAGCCCAGATTATTTTGCAGTGAAAGCCATTTCTTCTGGCATCCCTGCAGTTCTTGCTCTCCCTGCCTGTTGGAAAAGAGAGGGTCATCCTCATGCTTGGCTCTTTCTGGAACTCATACAGGGATCAGAAACTGGGTAAGGAACAAAATTTAATTTAGCAGGCTTAGGAGAAAGAAGAACGCAGAATCTCAAGACAATATTGGGGCTTCACCAATTTCTTCTAAAGTGCCATTTTAGCTTTTTGAACACTATGTAATGTCCATCATGAAAGCAGATGGGGGAGGGAAGCTCAGTGCATATGCAGAGAGTGACTACCTGCAGGCTGTCCTGCTGTTAATAAGGCATAGCCAAGTTAATTTAACGAGCCTATTACTTCAGAGCATCAGCAGAATTTGAATCTAGGAAGTCCAGAGTCATAATATAAACTGATATTTGAATTTGGTTGTCATATTCCACCACCCACTAGACATATATTTTAACAGTAGGAAATCCTACTTGAGTTTATATGAGTCCAGGTCTTATATTATCCCATAGAACAAATTTCCATGATTATTCTCCAAATATTTAAACCCTTGTCTGTTTTTTTTAAAATACATTAATTTGTTCAAGTGTTTTTCCTATCACAGAAATATGAGTCTATGTTTAAAAATGCCAGTTAATATAGCATTTTACTTTTTTTTCTTAATCCTTGCACAATAAAAAATTCCACTGGCACCTCACTGCATCTGGCTAGCTTGATACTTCCATAGGTTTGCAATTTCTTTCTTCTTTTTCATATTCCATTTGAGAAGCTGGAATTGGCCTGAAATCCCTAGTAGCTTGAGTTAATTTGGGAAGAAATAGTGTCAAAAATTCCACCCAGAAATGATGCTAAACAAATGTTCAGACAAGTAATTTCTCCCTCTAAATATTTCATCATGACAGATTCCCAGGACACTTTACTGCTGAATCCCTTCAGTGCTGGACTGATCAGTTGCTTGAGACAAAATTCATCTCCAATAACTTTTCCTGTCCGCAGTGTGGAGTGTTTAACCTCGCATGGAGACCTTGGGGTTCAGCTCTGATGAAAGATGATCATTTCACCAAAGGTGGTGAAATGCATCATATCCTGAGTTTTACTGACCATATGGATCAGCTCTGAACTATCTTTAGAGTAAGTGTGGCCTTCTCAGGTGGGGATGGAGATGGATGAAATGTAGATCAACACATTTAGCCACATGTATTTTAGGTAAGTTGTACAGCCAGTCCTGCCAACCAAGAGGCACAGTGAGGGAGTGGAGCCCACTCAGGGTGGGTGGTATCTTAGCATGCAGACTCCAATATATCCCTTCTGAGTACATGCAAACAGATATTTCAGAGGCTAATAATTAAAATTAATGGGGATGAATTTTAATAGGAGTAGCAGAAGGCACATTCCTGGCACAAGGGGGACATCATGTCTGCTGTGGAACATCTGGATGCTTGACTTCCCAAAAAATCTCATGAAACTGGGCAAAACAAGCAGTTTTTCCAATTCCCTCTTACAACTTACAGCCAAATCATTTTTTGCTGAAATTAAGGCAGAGGTTTTTGAGGAAAGGAATAACATTATAAAACTCTCAAACCAACCAACCAAACCAAAACCAACTAACAAACAAACCCCCCAACAAACAAACAAAACCTCCCCAAACAAAACCAAAATTAAACCAAACAACCAAACAAGGTCATAAATAGGCAGACCATATTTCAGCCAAAGCAGTTAAGTTGCTCCACAATTTTACAAAATTCTGGCAAAGCTTTTGAAAAGAGGGGTCATGTAGAAGGGACAGTGTTGGGAAGCCTTATAGGCTGCACTTACAGCTCTGACTGTGCTTGTTCCTGAAAAAAAAGACCCAGCTAAGATTTAAAACCCAACATTAAAACTGCTCTCATTTGCTCCTTCATTTTGAGTGGCTTTTCCATAGACAAGAGGTTAATAATAAGATGCTGGAAAGGATGCAGAGGGTGATTGCACAGCTTAGGTTAAACCAAGATTCACTGGTACACAATCATTTGCCACTATAATTGCATTCAAGTTTATCTCTGTTTGATGGTCCAGGTTTTCCTCCACAGCATCTTTAAAATGTTGTTCCTGGTGGTGAAGATGCCTGTGAAATGAATGGCACTTGATATTGAAAAATACTGAGCAAACCACTAACAAGGGTTCTGTTTTATTATATATTTAATGGGATAAAGATCACCATATGTAATCACAGTTAAGGACCTTTCTTGGCCCAAAAGAGCATCATTATAAAAAATAAATAAATACATCTTACTGTGGAAAAGCCAAATTCGTGAAAGTTTGTGGGAGACTTTGCTTACAATTTTACGAACCTGGGGAATCTCTGTCCTTTGTTTTATTTAGCCTTGAAACAGCTTTCCCATCTCAGGATGGATAGACAGGGGCTGTTCTTCAGCCCCAGGCATGTGACCACTGCTGCCTACTGTGGTATTTGCTTTATCAGTGCCTGCCTAAACATCCTCCAAGCCTTAACTGCTCCCTGATATTTTTTTCAATCAAGACTTCCTGAGTTCTTGCTCCTAGTCTGATCAGAGGCTGTGCCTGTGTATGTTATGTACACATCAGCTGGTGTCACTAGAACTAATCTTATACTTAGGCCTTTGATGTGTGTGTAAGGGGGTCTGGGGGAGCACATACAGAAAAGGTATCTAAAGATGTAGGTGAAAACCACAGCAAACTCTCCCTGCCAGAGAGAAAGAAGAGGCAACCTCTATTTCTTTGAATCAAAGCTTCATTAACCATGAACCTCGTCACCTCAGTGTCTTCATTTTAGCCCCCATTCACCATCTCACTAACCTGGATTTTTCTTTTAGCTAAAATTATACTGGTACTATATTATTATATTTTCACAATTGCATATTTTTCTCTTTCCCTCTCCCTCTCTCTCTCTCTTTCATGCACAAAATCAATAGAAAGAAATATTGAAAATGTCCTATTTTCCCTCTTATTATAAAAAGACTTTTGCAGCAGTCAGAGGTTGTGGGATTTATGATTAAGCAACACTGCTAACTGGACCTAGACAGATAGGAACACGAAATACAACTGGAAGACTGGAAATTATAACTGAATTTTGGGCTTTCTAAGCCTTGATTTTTCAATTCTGTACTCTTTTTTGAGTCTCTCAGGTCCAGTGAAACAAGTTAATGGGGCTAGAAAATGAAAAGTCCTTTTTTTGTTTTGTCTTTTAATAATTTAAGGGCACCTCCAGCAACCAAAACAAATATATTTATCATCGCACACAAAGCCTTTAGGCGTGAACTCTAAAGAGGCACATTAGTGTCAATGCATCTGGTACACTGTCACTTTCCAGTTTAGCTTAACTATTGCTTCTCCTTTTTTCCTAACACTTGTGTCTGAAGAAATGCTGTCTTCTGCTGCTTCTTTTTCTTTTTATTTTTTTTTCAGAAAAGAAAAAGAAGTTAAACAAATATTATTTATATAAAAATGTACAGGCATGCAAAAATCTCTTGGCAAAATGCAAATAGTTCGACTATGCAGAAGATCAGGTTCAACAGTTATAATAGATGCACTTGATCTAAGACCTGTGAAATAACCCTGCTTTTTCACTCATCATCAGCCTGTTTGTATGTGGGCAGGATAGTTTTATTCACTCTAAGGAAAAAAAATTATACAGATGCACATCAAAATATCCCCTGGAAGGAATTTTCTCAGATTAAGTAAAATGTGAAGGATTAGAGCAGCAAGCATGTTGTAGACAACAGAACTGCAAGCTTAAATCTGAAAGGAGTGAAAAGATAGAGCTATGCATAAGAATCCTTGGGTTTGATATCTCTTCATAAGCCGTATTTCATGGTGGAATTATATTATGGGCATCAGCTTGGGGCAATGTTTCCTTTGCATCATAACATCCAGCAGCCCACTCTGGTTCACGAAGCAAGTCAAGTCAGCAGCAAACAGGAAAAATTACTGCTCTGCACATTAGTAAACAGTCTTGGAAAGGTGGATTCCTGAGAATTCATATACCCATTTTTACAGAAGGAAAAATTAAGGCAGAGCATCTGGGACAAGGTCACGCGGTAAGTCATTGCTCAAGGCAGACTGAGATGTCAGCGCTTTTGGCTCCCAGAGCCGTGCTTTGACTAGTGAACCAAACCCTCCCGTTCAGCAAGAAGTAAAATGTTAATGTCTCAAGAACTGGGCGAGTTTACCTTGGCACATCAGCAGCACAGCAGGTTAATCAGGGTAAAATCAGCACAAGGTGCACTCCCAGAAGCCAAGGGATGCTGAACTGCAACTGCAGTCTTGTGGCAATCTCCACGGGTCAGGCAGCTCAGCTGTCTCAGAGTGTCTGGGACCCAGCCTGTCCCAAACTGGGGACAGCCCACAGGGGAACAGCACATCAGTATCCACAAGGAGTCCCTCTCCCAAACACAGGCTGATCTGTGGGGTAGAAAAATCACCCCAAGCACATGCTCGTTTTCATCCAACAGACATTTGTGAGCAAACCCAGAGCAGCGCGGTCCCAGAGCCAGGACGTGCCTGGGAGGACTGATTTTGCTGTCTTTAGCCCTAGTTTCAGTAATCAGTTCCCTTGGCTTCAGTGGCATCAGCCATTATTTACCTTACTGTGAAAGAAGCAGCAGCACAGAGGAGGTTTTCAGTTTCCCACTGGAGTTCTGTCTTGGACACCGTCTCGCAGCCAGGCAGAATTATCAATCTCTTCTCCTGAAAGCTCTCTTCTCAGGGCTGGAAATCTTGAGATGCTGAAGGTCAGGAGATTTAAGGTACATTGGCAGAGCTCTATATCTCCAGCTTGCATTATTCTGGGTGCTGGCCAATGCTATCAGTCTCTTGCCAAAAAGGAATAGCTATTATGGCATTGATTTTCTGCCACAAAAAAAACAGAGAGAGTGACTTCTAGTTAAATGCAACAGTAGAAAGTGCTCCAGCCTTTTGCTGCAAGAAAGGCTGTGTCTTGGTCTGTGATGGCTGAGTTTGGACTAAAATATTTTCAACACCAGTTCTGCACACAGGAATTAGAAAGAGCCAGCAGAAACAGCCAGCATGCAAACAGCAGATTTTAGAAGTTGTTACAGATTGATCCCAAATACCAGAGCCTCCCAGTGACAGCAAAAAAATGGTTAGAAGGCTAATGATTGTGCTGGAATGCTGACATTCCACAGCAGGTTCAGATCTGTAGGTTGTATCCACCATGGATGGATAGGGCCACAGCACAGTAGTGATTTTTTTTTTTTCAGTGTATCTCTCCGTTGAAAATTTTATCTGCTTATTAACAAACATAAGCCCAGCCCAGGCTCAAACACTTCAGCTTTAAACAAACAAACAAAGCCCATAGTGACAGTAAACATCAGTCACTAAGTAATTCCTAAGCTTTGTTGACTATCCAGATCACTTGGCTTCTGAGAACATATTTTCTTGCTGGGTTTCTAGTACTCCCACCCTGTTTTGGGTAAGAATGTCTATAACCCAACTTTTTGGTTTTATTTTTGGCATGTCTTTCTTTTTTCAAGGCTTGGCCAGAGTGCAGAGGAAGGAAAAATAAGGAAGAGATGGATAGAGAGAGAAAGAGACTTGTCAGTAGAACAGAGGAGACAGCTAACCTGCTCTGAAGCTTAAATAATCATCTACTTCAATTCAGTTTGAGTAATTGAGGACATGAAGGGTCAGGTTTTATTCTTATTTCCCCAGATTCAGAGAAGTCAGTGATAGCTTAAGCTCACATTCTACAAGCTGAAAATGAACCTGAATTCATTGTATCCCAAAGCAGCCTAATCCATTAAAAAAAAAAAAAAAAAAGGGAGATAATTAATTTAAAAATTCACAGTGACTTCTGCTGCTTGAGGTTTGAGAATAATGTTGGACGTGTGCCACAGAACAGCAAAAACATGAATACAAAAAGGACTTTAACTCACGTGAGCCCCAGTTAAGGAGGGTGCTTCTGGGTGGCTTTGTCCAGGATAGATGAACTAACACTTTCTTAATTGATGAAGTTATTCCTCAGACACTCAAGACAAGCTGTGTTTCCCATAGCTGTCCTCTGCAGGGCCAGGAGCTGGACTCGATGATCCTTGTGGGTCCCTTGCAGCTCAGGATGTCCTATGACTCTATGATTGTTTTGACCTGCTGCAATGGACAGTATTTTCACATAGATCTGGGTCTCCCCATCCCCCAGTGGTACCTGCAACAGCATTTGCAGTGGAAGAAGAATTCAGGTGGAGGCTAACCCTTGAGAATGACCATGTTCAACTACAGATACACCTTCAAACCTTTTCATGCATCTATGAATTTATTCTTTCCAGAAAGCCTGAAGGAGGGTGGGAGGAATCAGCACCCCCAGCTCCAGCATCCCCACATGCCTGGGCTCTCAGTTCCACGAATGTGCCAGGATTCAGTCAGTAACTCCCCTTTTTTAAGATATAAATGGGGTGAGCTTAGATCACCATCCAGCTCTGCACTGAGGCCTCACACCTTCATCCACACAGGAGATCTGTTTCTCAGCCACAGTTCCAAAAGTTGGCTCCTGAGCTCAGCCTGCATGCATGACTCATGCTCTCAGCTCTAGCAGCTTTTAATTCAATCCCAGGTGTGCTAAACACTGGCCATCATCACCAATATATGTGAAATGGCTTTATTAATCTGGTTACAACATACGAAGGTAGAGCACAGTCATTTCGTAGTAATGAATCACAGTCATGGAGATTTGAACATGGGGATTGAAAAGGAAATTAAAGTCAAGTTTCCTGTATGGCTCATTCTGCAGCCCAGCACAGACTCAGACAAGAGAGAGATTTCTTTTTGTTCGTTAATAACAGGGGCAGATCAAACATTGCTACCTGTTAACTGTGCCCTGGCTGGGACAGCAGTGACCACACCGATGCCACTCAGGATTGGAGTTGGAAGTTCCCCAGTTGTTGCTCTGCAGTGCCTGTGGCACCAGTGGGTCTTTTGTCACACATATAAAGCACGTGCTACTGACTTCAGAAATAACTAGGCACAAACCTGAGGGCTTTGATGAACTAAGAGTCATTACAAAATATGCATCTCTGAGAAGGAAGTTGGAATCCCAAACTGAGCATCGGGGTCCAACCTGGCCATGACAGAGAGGGTTCTTCAGGGGTCTTGGTGCAGGAAGGATAAGGACATACCTGAGCAGGTAGCTACCTTTGTAAGAACATAACAATTTATTGCATTTTCTAGAGATCCAAATAATGAGCAACACAGTAATTGTGTTGAGAAGGACTTCAAGGGCATGACCAGCTGCATTCAGTGTCGAGTCTGACAGCCCTTGGAAGTGCTTAGTCACATTTAACTCCGGTTGTTATTATTTTCCAAGCCTGTGTTTAAGTCAGACAGAAATGTGGCTTTTTGTCACATTGACAGAACATTTAACCATAACCACCCCACAACAGCAGAAGGGCAGGTGTTGCATCTTCTTTCACCAATGCAAAAGACACAGGCTGACAAAATTATCTCAAGGTTTAACATGGTTGTTACCTTCAAAAAATCTATGCACAGGGCCAACTTTTGTACTGGTGTCCCTCTGATATGTTACAAGGAGAACTATCCTGAAAAGATTGGCTTTACAAATCACCACAGGACTCTGGAGTTGTAGGGGGCAATAAAGCAGGGAGATCTCTGGAGAGTAAACACAGGGTGAGGGAAGAAACACACAGGAAAGAGAGAGAAACTCTTGAACATATCACTGAAGGGTGACAGTTCTTTTCCTAGATGTTGCCTCTCAGTCCGAGCCAAGGGTTATTCTTTTGATCTTACAAGGCTGAAGATGTAGGAATGAAGCCAACAAATCTGGGAAATCAGAGAGGGGGAAGAAAACATTAGATTAACACATCCAAAATAGAAGTAATAGGTATGAGAAGAGCTCATTTTGTATTAATAGGTAACAGGCAAAACTTAGTGACACCGTATGTTTAGAATCTTTCCTGTGTAAATCCCCACTGCCCTGAAGGGTTTTGTTCCTCTAGCAGCAAAAGGGAGGGAGGGGTAAAAAAAGAGAAGAGGGAATGAAAGGAGGGCAGAAAAAAAGATAAAGTCTAATTGATATGGAAGTTCAGAAAATCAGAAAAGGGGAAAAGTAAACTGAAAGAACTAGTGGAGTTTTTTGGGGAAAAAAATAGAAACATATATAAAAAATACAGCATCAAGTTCTCAAAAATATAAAACAGAATAGCTTTCAAATTAGTGTTTTCACAGCTGCAGGCTGCAGAGTTTATTGCTTGCAGTATGAAACCTAACGATGTGATGAAAAAAAAATCTCAAAAGTCTTCCACCCAGCCCTAGACAGACTGACAGCCCTGGAGATCAATGTCCATTATTAACTTGCTGACTTCATGCACAGCAAGGCAGAGCATAAACTTCTCTGGTTCTCTTCAAATTTGGCTTAATTGGATCACCTACAGGATGAGAGGATAATTTAGCATGCATGGCCAGCCACATCTTCATTGCACCCCTGAGCGTAGAACAAAGGCTCTGGCCAGGAGGATGTGGACATCTAAGCAGTGAGATGCCCTGAGACTATCTGTCCATGTCTTGAATCCCTCTGATCACACAGGAGAGGGCAACTGATCCAGTCACTGTTGTTCTGAACTGTCTCCAATATCTTGGCTTATAAGAGAAATGCCAGTGTCAAACTCTTTTCGAAAGAATCCTAATGAGACATCAAAGAGAGAGGGCTATGTGGACCACACCTCTACCTCCAAACCATTCTCCTTAGGGATTTAATCTACCCTGACTGGAAGCAATGGGAGTTTTCCATAACTTCAGTTGCTACTGTATCAAATCATAGGTGGGGTGGGATCACAGATCACAGGTGATGCACTTCCTTCTCCTGTTCACCACTCAGGAACCTTGTCCTTACACAGGCACTTCCTCTACCAGAGTCTCCTAATGGAGTTTCCCTCTAGAAAATTAAAAAGGCCTCAGTTTTCCTAATAAATTGTGCTTTAAAAAAATTTAAGCCATCACATGAAATTTCACAAAAATCAGTTTGCTAAAGTAACCAGAAGAGCTACAAAGAGTTTAAACCATCATTTAGAGGGGATAAGACAACTCATGGTTTAGAACTCATAGTTTAGAAACTAGTTTCTCAAATGAGGAGACAAACAGCTCTGTCATCTCACCAGTGAGAGACCCAGGGTTGTTTTTACACCCTGTTGTTTGTACCACCCCCACCCTCCATCCCTGCCATGGTTTTGGTCTCTGGCTGCCCAAACAGATCTGTCAGCACAAGTCTCCAGCCTGAGACCACTCTGGCTTTGCCTGGGTGACCCCAGTGCATCAGTCAGTCCCTGCAGGCCCTCTGGTCCCATCTCCATCAGCTACTTCTTTGGCTCTATTGAGCATGGTGTCAGAGTAATGAGGCAGGAGTTGTCTGTGCCGCCACTGACTCCATTATCTCACACAATATCAGGAGTGAAAAAAATGGCTGCTGGGTTTTTTAATGGTCTGGCAGAAGCCCTGTCGATAACAATTCTTTACTTGGGTTTGCTGGAAATTACAGCCGTCTCCTCTGTTCCAGCACCTTGCAGTTTTGCGGGAAATAGTTTTGAAACAGCTTCCACTGCTTTAGAAAAAAAAAGAATAATGAAAAAAAAGGCAAATCTCTCAGTGTTGAACATGCCTTCCTCTCTCTTAAGCAACAATAAATGAGACTCTCCAGTTTCTTATCTCTCACCCTCCTGCCTTATTATTTAGTAGTCAGTACTAGCAAGACCCTCTCTGGATCTCAGTGACGCTTTTGGATTTATTTGACTGATCTCAGCACACTTCTGGATCCCCCACTGCAGCCAGCTTATGCTCATCTCGGCAGCAGCCTGAGCACGGGGTGATCCCAAAGAGACAAGCAGCTGAAAATCCTCCTTCTGTCATGTTT